ACAGAGTGTTTTAGGGCAGCAAACCCTGGTCTCAGGCCACCTTGAGTTTAGCTTGATAACCACAGCTTTGAAGCCTCATGTGCGCCATACCCGGGAACAGAACTGTAGCTACTTGTAGCTACCCTGGGTCCGTATAAATACTGTGTTGTTGCATACCTCTTACACACCTATACAAGTTCAAAGCACGAATGAGACTTCAAAGCTGTGGATTGCTGTGCGTGTGTAGAGGTTCTCAAGCGGTTGACGGAAAGGGAACTTGAAGTACTATACCTAGTAGCTGCACTATGGCTACCCTAGGTCTCTATACCTTGCAAGGTGCCAACTACACCTTTCCATTCAGATGATGCAAATGATGCATTTGGCATTTCTTGCATCACCACCCCTCAAAAATCACCTCCAACACAACCTCAAAAAACCTTCCCTCGAAGCACCCTCCTCCTCCAGCATGTGCCGAGTTAACGTATACCTTTCTCGGGCCACCCCCCCAGACCCCCTAACTACTCACTTCGTTCGCCAAACACAACTCCGCTAGCGCCTTCTACGAAGGCTGGCTTTCGTAACATGTCTACCTCAACATACCTCAATCAAACATGCCAGGGGCGAGTTTGGGTCTTTGAGTCGGCAACACTTCTCAGTCCAAGAATCCACGATCTGGTTCTGGTTCTGGCTGTGATCTGTTGGAACACTCAACTGAGGGGGGCGATGATCTGGGATCGCTTCTTGCGAAGAGTACGTACCCTACATGCTTGGCTCAAGATGGACAACTTCACATTCGACAAGAAGCTATGTAGCTGGAAGTGGATTTCTGGACTATGTACCCAGGCTATCCCAGGCTACTCTTCAAGACACGGACTGCCAACGGCTTCTCTGTCTATATTCCTACCAATGTAGTATAGCCACATGCAATCTCAATAGAAACAAAGAACAATCTGGAAAATCGAAGAATGTGACAACATGTCAACAGACCATCCTCTGAGTTCTTCCAGAAAAAGAAGCACCCATTGCGGACCCATCCTCTAAGCGCTTCCCCTTCTTCCTCCAGATCGAACGCTTCGCGACCGGGGTGCCGGGCATAGCCCGCCGCTTTCAACTTACAACGCCACACCTGCTGAGGTCGGCCGGTTGAACGACCGTGCCACGGGCGTCGTGTTGGGAGCTTTGGCACTGAACGAGTTGGGCACTGAAAACGTCGGAAGTCTGAAAAGATGTAGTCGTTGGACCTGGAAGCATGTGTGCAGAGAACAGGATTAGGCAACGATGGATGTAGGCAATTACAGGTGTTTTTCAGAAGATCTCGAGGATGCATTTGCACCCCTTCCATTCGGAGAGAAGGTGTAGCTTCCAGCACAAGATCGCACGATTTGGGGGGCCTTAGGCCGCCTTGGCCGGATGGAGACTTGGTAAGTCAGCCCGTCTGCCCGACGTCTAGCCCTCGAAGAATGTCTTGAGTTGTGAGAATTGTTGCCATCGTCGGCCACGATGGGCGCAAAGACACATAAGTCATGAGACCGTCTCTGCGATGGCGATGTCAAAGGCCACAGCTTCCCAAAATAGGAGAAGCTTTTATCTCTTCAGGAAGCAAGGCGTCCTTTCTACTAGTAGTAATGGTCTCCTCCACCCTAGTAGTGATGGCCTCCCCCAAGTAGCGATGGCCTCCATAAGTCATGAGACCGTCTCAGGATGTCTCAGGATGTCTAATTACTCTGCGATGTCTGTCAAAGGCCACGGCTTCCCAAAATACAAGGATGTCCACCGCCGTTGGCCCGGAGAAATAGCGCCTTACCCCAAAAGGATTTCCTCCAGAAAAAAGAAAAACAACACAGCAACTAGGATGCTACTAGGGGCTCCTGGCCTTACTACTAGGAGCAAGGACACTAGGGGCTCCTGGCATCGCTACGAACGGAGCAAATAGCTATAGTAGTAATGCCCTTGTTACTAGCAGCTTGTTGTTCCTAGTAGCGATGCCAGGAGCCCCTAATATCGTCCTTGCTCCTAGTAGTAAGGCCCTTGTTTCTAGCAACTTGCGCTTGCACCTGTGAGACAACTCGCTTTGAGGTAGGTCATCACGACTGCTCTCGTCTCCCCACCGACGACTCGATCGATGTCTTCCCACCACAGTCCCACCTGTTTGCCCGTTTCCAGGTCGCTTAAGGCGGCAAACTTGTCCGCCCCAGTGGAGGCCTTGGGGGTTTTCACACGCGGGTCTCATCATGTTGAACCGCCTGTTTCTTCGTCAGTGGCGACCAAAAATCGCAACCCCCATTGCAGGTGCCAGTAGCTCATGTGTTTGAGTTCCTGTTCCGCACAAAAGCAATGACGCTCCACTTGGGATGGGGGTGAAGATTGCTTTCGATCCCAAGAGAGGTGGCCACAAGTGGTTTAAATGGACTGGCCATGACTTTGTTCATACTGATAGCGAGGGTTTTTCACACTCACGTGCGGACATGCCACACCAGAGTGCCAGCAGTATGCCACGGTTTAGCAGCAAAGCATATACAGCAAACTGGTGCAAATTCCGAGATCAGGCTTGGACCCACTCTGCTGTGTAAATGCTGGTGATGTAGATTCAAGGGAAGTTCATGCAGGGTGCGTCAAATGGAATCTTCACCAAACATGGCGTGCGCAGCGTGCGAAAAAGCGGGGACAGCGTGCGCACCCTGCGTTCTCCACTAACGCTGCTAGAGGGACCACCTGTTGCACCCGGTTCCAAAGGGCAGTGTCATCAACTAGGTATTATGGGTGATTGTGGGATATTGTGGGTGTGTATTTTAATAGGAAGACACCCAACATCACCCAACCAATGGGTAGACTGTCCCATCCATATGTTCTTTCTTCCAGGGGATCGAACTGCACCGATGTCTGGTTCAACACCCTCACTCGTTGTAGAAAGGATCCCCACTCTTGGTGCTTGGACGATCGACCTTTCTCCGACTTCAAAAGAACAAGACTCTACGACCTTCCACCACCATCCATGACCTACTCTATACTCTGTGAATGGCAAAACGGCAAACATCTTGACCCCCCATCGTTGTAATCACCTTGGAGATCAATGACCGAACTCGGTCTATCTGTCACTCTCTCCTCCGTGCTTCGCCCGTTGGTTTTCCGGGCATGTCGAACCACCCAGAGACCACTGGGCCGACATGGATGAGCCAGGGGACCACCCAGAGACCCGGGCCGAGGGACGGAGCCATTGGGGGAAACCGTCCTTCGGGGATCGGCGGTTCCAAGAAGAAACGGCCGAGGAAACACCTGAGACACCGAGACACCGATCGGGAGACCCGAGAGAGACACCGAGAGACCTCCGGGCGCTGCGGGGAGAGACCCGACGTCCGACCCGACGTCCGGGTGATGGACGTCGAAGTGGTGGGAAAACCCCCACCCATGCCCAGCCCACGCAATGGCACCACACCAAGGTGCTAGGATGGAGTCTGTCCTGGACGGAGTAGACTCCATGTCTTGTGGAGGGACATAGATGCCGGGATCGAAAAATGGAGGTCACTGCCACTAAGGAATCTTGCAGACATGGCTGGGATCTTTCTGGGACAGGTCACTAAGGGCACTGACTGTCACTGAGGTCCAGAATTCACTGCTTTTATGTCCGGTGCCTTTGGGATTCTCTATAGGTGTGGGGCATTTCTTCCGGAATTCCGTGGATCACTTGCTTGCCATCCTGGTCTGTGTAGCTCAAAGAGCCCCAACCGCCTGGGGGTCTCCCGAAAAAGGAGAATGGACCAGTCGACCCGTGGGGCTCTCCCGAAAATACGTCCAAATGTCTTGGAATACCTCCCCGTGAAGCTCCGTTCTCTCCAGTGACGCAGTGTTTGAAGGGGCCATTCGATGCCCATCGACTCTACGCAGCGACGCAGTGAAAGCACGGTCTATGATCCGATCCAAACCACTCAGAATCCGTTGATCGTATAGGTATTTCAACGAAAGAATTTCCGAGTCCTTACTGTTGAGGATGTCCATTCACAGTAGGTGGTTTTGGGTCACCAAAAGCAAACGACGTCTGGAAGCCACGGACGGTCCAAGCCACGGGTTCGGGTTTTTCCCACCGATCGGTGCGGGTTCGGCGCCGGCGAGTTCGGCACCACCCAACGGCACATGGATCCCTGAGAAGAGAATGCCGGCGTTCATCCCCAAGAAACACCGGGACGCCCGAGCAGGAACTTGGCTGCTCGGCACGACTTCGAGTGGCCTGGGGCAGGCGCAGGCATCGGCAGGCGTGAGGCCTGGGGTGTGACTGCAAGAACCGGAGGCCTGGGGCGTGCCAAAAAGAATTAGCCCGGCAAGAGACCCCAAACAGTGTATCATAGTGTATCTAAAATCTAAAGGTCTAAAGTCTAGAGGTGGTGATGCTAGTTTCAAATAGTTTCAGAGATGCCCAAATGTGATCCAAAAGCAAATGATGGGATGGACTCAATAGGAGTGGACAAACCAGCAGTTTAATCCCAAATGGGGATGCCTCGTACCAGACAGAAGGAGAACCCCGAGTTCCAGTTGTTCAAGTGAAAAAAACCTATAAAAAACCTAGCTTGGTGTGAAGGACAACCTAACCAAACCCAACCAAACCACCTAACCAAACCGGTCCGGTCCATTTTCGAGAAAACATGCGAAAGAGAACCCATCTCACTCGATCACCCTCGGTGTCCGAGTGAAGGGGTTCCGAGGGTGAGACTGTCCACATGTAGGTCTTCAGTCGTTCCATGAAAGGGTGGATACGAGTTCCTGGCATTTCCGCACGCAGTTGTTTACCTGGCAATACACGAGCTTTCACGGTGCTGCAGGAGATCATCAAAGTTCGAAGGATGATCAAGAGGTAGATGTTTCAACCTCTTGCGTCAAAGTCATGCGAAAAGGGACACCCCCTCGCCAACTTTGTGTGGATACGGATCGAAAAAGTAAAAAAGATAGACAAAGGCATACAAAAGGCAAGTGAGCTGTTGAAACCATGGATCATCCTGGTATTTACCTCTTTTCAACTGTTTGGCTTGTGCTTCGCCCAAGGGACCCATCTGGGCCCCACACTGGTGATGCTTTGAGCCAGCTCGTGGGTCCCTTCAGCGAAGCTCGGCGAAGCACGTCTTCGTTCAGAAAGGAATCTCAGAGTCAGGGTCTCTAGGGTCAGGGTATATATCTCAGAGTATATCATTTCGGAAGAATCAACACGAAAACAACTCACTGCTCTGCTGATTTGGTGTTCTTTTACCAGAAGTGCGAAAGAAAAGAAGGATGACCGGAGTGACCATCGTTGCTTCTCACTGCTGTGGCGTCGTGAACTGCGAACCCTCGCGGCCCGCGCAGAGCTGAGCGGCCCCCCGTTGTGGTGGTTTTTTGTTGTTTGGTGTTTCTATTCTTTTGCTTGTATGAACACAATTTATGTAAACATCGCATAAATTGGGCATAGTTGCAAGTTGATATTATGCTTAGAAGTACGAATGATATATGATATGATAGAATTCTCAAGAGGGCCACGGAGAACTTTGGCTCTGGTGGCTTTTCCGCCAAAGACTTCATTCCGCAAAATGAGTGCAAAGCATCAATAAATCTGCCTTCACATGAGGCCATTGGAATAAACAAAACATTTGGCATACTATCTGCCACTTTGGAATTGACCGTTTCAGCCCAACGACCAGAGAGCGTCTTCGGCATCCAGCGTCTTCGGACTGCCACGTGACGGTTCTCCCGATCGAAGTGATGAAGCTCCACCTGTGGCCAGCCATCGCTGTTCCAGTTGATGAGTATTGCTGCAGGAGCTGTGCGTTGTCAAGTTCCGGAAGAACGAACAGGTTCCCCTCACTGACGTGTGGTTTGTGTGTGTTTTGTTCTGAAAAAGGAGGCAGTCTGAGAGCTGGTGAAGAGTATATGACGTTCTGATGGATGGGGGCATGTTCCTTGTAAAAAACAAAAATAACCGAACATTGACAGAAACAATAATGTGTCTGATGTAAATGTAAATGAACATATATGATGTGTATATTTGTTTAAAAGAAAATAGACGATATTCTTGATCATCCTCCATATCTTCAACTTCTATTTTCAGTGTTCCTGCCGCCCACAAGGGGAAACCACCCTGGAATCAACCTGAACCTTGAAAAGATCTGAGGATATCCTCCTACAGAAATCCAGCTCCTTCCAGAGCCCTTCACCCTTCCAAACACACCAGCTGTGCAGCTCCAGCGGAGCTGATGGAGAGCTACGAGAGCTGGAGCTACGCGCTGTCCCGCCTCGCCAGTGATGCAAGCACAAGCCAGCAAAGGGCGCTTGGGATGGAACTGGGCTTCGAAGCAGTGCTCCTCCCGGGACGAGCGTTCGCTGGGGCACACCACACGACGGGAGTGTGGACTCAAGAATTATGGTGAAATACCAGCGAATTCATACACTAAAGACCCCCAAAAATGTAATAAAAATTAAACAAATAAACATCAAAAAGATGCCCATGCCATGATGGCTCATTGGGGTTGGATGTGCCGCGTGCGGTACAGGTGTGAAAGTTCCGCGGAACCGGTCCTTGGTGTCGATCCCCAGGAGGGTCGTTCCCATGGATCCGATGGGAGGCTGTCAAGCTGTCAGGCTGTCGACCATGTGAAGCTGGTGGTGGTTGATGAAACTGGTGAAGAACTGGTGGAGAAATTGATCAGTGAGGTTGAGGGCTTTAGTTCCCTGTCGAATGGGTCGGCTCAAGCACCCCAAACTGAACTGGTACGAAGACGCACGCTGCCAGTGCTTCTGAATAGAAATGCTGGGATACACGCGTGGTGTTTTCTCTTCTTAACAAGACCACTTTCCATGCAAGCCAGCAAAACTCGAGACTTGCAGGTCGTCCAAGAGAACTGAGAGTTTCAGATCTGCCTCTGAAACTGCCAACATATGATTTTCAGATGCAGGTCTTAGCCATGAGTGGCGTTCGGAGCCAAGTGGCTCGGCCGCAAGCATTCGATCCCATGCGCGAAAACCTGATACCAGGCACCCTGGTGAGAGGTCTTAAAATTGTCTGTGACGTCTTCTTTTAACGGATGTCTTCTGAAACTGCTCATACCACTCTGAGAAGAGAAGGGTTAGCAGTACGACCTGTGAGCCAGGCTAGCCCACTTGATACAAAGTCGTGAAGACCAACTGGGCACCGGCACCGGAACAAGCAACTGCTTGGCATTCACCAACCTACTGTGTCCCACCGAAGCCCTTGGTCCATGTCGGAGATGGAAGAAGCGCTTGCCCTTCGAGGCGGTGGTCGAACATACCTAAAAGTGCTTCGTTGCGTGCTTTCCCACAAAAAATACAAAACCATAGAAAACCTATGAAAGCCCCCCTTCTTCAAATAGTCAGTGATCTGCTTGTGGTCTGGAACCTTGGAAGAAGATCAGTGTAGCGGATCCCATAAATCTCCAAAGCTGCCCAGAGCAGCAAAGCCAAGCATAGAGATTGACGCTCAATGCGTGGATCAGCCCAGGGAATACGGTCACCTGCATCACCTACCCCCCTCTGGAGCACCTCCGAAGTCCGGAAGTCGGAAGCGCCACACGGACGGGGCCCGGGTTTCCCCGCCATCGAGCAAGCAAGCGCGCGCGCGAAGAGACCCAGAAGCAAAGACTCATCTTACTCCACCTCGGAGTCAAAATCCACCACTACCAATATAGGTTCAACATTTTCCTGGACTCTCAACGATATTTGGCTGGTCTCTCAACTGCTCGGGACACCCCAGCTCTTGTGGCCATTCCGAAGCCGCCCCTTTTCAGCTGAAATCGGAACACATCCACTGGACCGCCCGACATGTTCCGCTCGCAGGCGATGTGGGTCAGTTCGTGTTCCAGCCCTTTTTGCTTCACGGCTAAGATTGTTTGGTGGTGCTTCATCCCAGAAGCGCTCCTCAAAGTATATGGCCTTCCTCACCAGAGTTGGATTCCCCCCTTCACTGGGAACTGAAGGCGGAACCGAACTCGGAAACCCCTGCCGGACGCGCCGGACGGGAAGGCGGGAAGGCGGGACCGAGGGCGGCACCGGCGACGGGGCGAGTGGCGAACCGTCGGGAGACTCGCGTCGGGCGGTCGGAATGGCCGAAGAGGAGTGGCCGTTGTTTTCTGATGTTTTCTGTAATGAAGGATGTTCTTGTTTTGGTGCTATAAGGTATGTAATATATGTTATACTGTTTTGGTCCAACGTCGAAATGGTCAGTGCTTGAAAACGGGACGAACCTCCTTCATCGTCCGCTCGTTCGACCTTCCTCGTTCGCTCCCGGCCGATGTCGCAGCGGGTGGAGCGTTTCGGAGAGCCGTTTCGCAGCGGCTCGAGGCGTCGGAGCACTCCAGAGAGTGTGTGGGGAGGCCGATGCGGCCGATGAGTCTGAGTGACACTGAGTCCGAACTTCGAAAACCGAAAGATTGGACACTTCAAAACATTTGGACGATTCAGCGCTTCTGATGATTCTGAGATGTTTTTCACGTGCATCTTCCACTCGTGCGGACTCCGGCAGACTCCCGGTTTCGTCGAACGAACTGCCAAGCGAGGAGCTGAACACCACTGGCGAGCGGTCATTCCCAGGCGAATTGGGCCTGGCCAGTTCCGGGCCGGTATTTCTGGGAGGGTCTTCGGAAGAGCATGCAAGTCAGCACAGTTCTGTGGGTCAAACTCGGTCAAAGCCATCAAAACCATGTGGTTCAGCGGCGACCTTCCAGTGGGTTTCGTGCGTTGACCGACAATGACTGATTGGAATTAGGTGCAGGGTCTGATTCCCCCGTGATCGTTTTCCAAGCATCAACCGTGTAGGCATGTGTAGGCCACTTGCTCGGATGTCCAAAATGCAAAGATCAGAAGACAAACAGTATATTGAAGCCTGAATTTAGGATGAAACATGTTTGTCCAAAAAGCAACCAGCAGAATTCACCCCAACAATTGTGTAATCATTGTTGGGAGGATTCCAAAATCAGGGGGAAGGAGTAAGTCTTGTCAAAGACTACTCCGCTTACTTCGTGCCGCTGACTTCGCGCGACCGTTGACACGGCGACCATGGTTCGTCCACTGCCTCTTCTCCGTCATAGTAATCCTGAAGATCCTCATCGTCCATACAAGCCTCGATTTGGGACACCCGCGGTGTGATGGGCATGTTGTTCCGGAAAGGGAGAAAGCATCCACCATCCGGGCTGGCCAGGAGTTTGGCCAATTCTTGACATGGCTTGTGAAGGGGACTGAAAGGGCCTTGTTCCCCACCAGTGGAGGCTCTGATAGGATCTGTACTGGGTGGCTGAAGCGCTTCGCAAGGTCCACACAGTATCCCTACAGCGTTCCCACCCGACCTAGCCTAGCCCAGTATCCAACAACAATTCCACTCGCTTTCTCCTGACTTCTTTAAAACACCGATCGCGACTTGAGCGGAAACTGCGCTGCTTTTCGCCGAAACGGCGAGCTGCTTTTCCGAGACGCGCTCGTCTGTTCGCGCAGGGCTGACCCCCACGAAGCGCAAATGGACATGAATCGGTGACGCTTGGGGGGAGGGACCCCAGGCGACGTCCGGCGCTTTGGGGGGGGGAAAAAATCGTAACATATACCTGGATCCTTCCGGTGCCAGAATGGAGATCCATAAGTAGTGCAGAGGCTTTCATTGGTGACCCCTTGGAAGGTGCAGGCGGTATATATATATATATTGTATAGGGGCAGGGGTCAGGTACTCTCGGATGTCAAGGCTCAACCTGTCAGCCAGATCCACAACTGAAGAGCTTGGCAGAACTTTGGGGAAAGACCACGTTCAGCTGCCCATATACCAGCCTTCAAGGGGTGGTTAATGGACACCCCTCAACGGCTAAGGGGCTATAATTAGACACCCCAAACGGAGGGTCCTGGTATGCGTCATTTGACGGTTTCCCTAACATTGTCTCGCTCACCACCCCCTAATACCGACCGGAATCCAAACACGCACAGGCCAACCCATCACAGACCTGTTCTTCCCTGCGCAAAGGATGACGTTCGGTCATGGACTTGATTTGGCCATATTTGGCTCCAAATTCCATGCCCAAAAGGAACACGGACCTCCAAATGGAATACATCTCACAGAGTAGGAAAGCGATCCTGCTATTGGATTGTGCCATATTCTATCCCTATAAGCATGAAAGCATGACTCAAAGTAGTACCCAGCTTTTCAGAACATCCTTGTTGCTTTCCCATGGGGTGTGCGGCTACATCGCCTTACGCCTTGCACCCCGTCCGAAGAAATGCGGTTCTCCGTGCAGGCCTCGTGCATCCACCAGGCCTCGCCACCTAAGGAGTCGAACTCCGCCTTGGTCGTCCGCACCTGCGACGGTGGCGACGTCGCGGAAGTGGGCGACGGTCGAGTGGGCACCGGTGAAGGTCAACAGGGTCAGGTGAAGGACACGTGATGTCAACAGGGTCAGGCGTCTCGTGTGGACAGCCCGGGTGTCCGACGCCGAACGACGGGGGACCGACCCGGAGAGAACCGATGGAGGCCGCTTTCAGTGGGGTGATCAGAGCTGCTGCAAGGAGCGGATGGTTCTCGTCATGAACAAGATCCTGGTTTTGCATCAACCTGCAGGCATCCCTTCCCCACGGCAACATCCCATCTGCTGGACTGTCCCATCTGATTTCAGGGCCTAAACCAACAAAATACATCCCCAATTCATCCCCATCAATTCAGCTGGCCTTCCAGAGCAGCATATCATATAGCTGTGAAAAAATCTGCCGGTGTGATGGCACCTGATACCTATCTCCCCACTCGCCTCTAGTGGCTTCTGTGTGTCTTGGACTCGAAGAGTGCCACACACGGACCGTGGGAGGCTAGAGAAACATGCCACACTTTTGACTCGAACAGTTTGGAAATGTTTGGAAGAAGGGGGTCTTAAAGTGATTCGACGTGCCCACGCGTAAACTCTCGCGTACCCTACACAGGCTGTTCGTTTTCGGGGTCTTACAACCTCATGCCTCATCACCCGAATCTCTTCTCACTTTTGAACAGTGAGTGGTTAAGTGACGCTCCGAATTCGCCCCATGCTTCCTGATACGCAAATCAGCAACAGTTCCAATGCCATTCATTATGTCGCGAAAGCAGCGTCGACATCACAAACATCACGGCAAATTGGTCAGTGACCTCTGAACCTCTCCAATCAAATCCAAAATTCCAAACCAAACCTCCAGGGTCATTGTTCTTGCATCTTCTTGCATCCCTTGCGTTCTTCTGAAAAAGAAGAATAACTCAACCCTTGGGCCGGGGAAAAAGAGGTCCTTGGCCGGTTCCCCAACACCGTCTGAACAGCCGGGTCTGAGCGGAGAAGAACGACCGGGTCCGGGCGGTGCGGCAGAGGCTTTCTTGCTGAACCTCTCAGGATACCACCTCTTCATGGTGGATTCTGAATTTTCATGGACTTTTGAGTATCAATATATTTCAACCCCCACCCTATATATTCTATTTATGAGTCTACATATGGGATTATTTAGTAGGCCCCCCTCTCAACCCCCCCAGGAATAATTTGGACATTATACATCTGTATACCTCTAGTTGTAGGCTTTGTTGAAAATTATTCCAAGGGACCCTTGACCTACCCCTGCCTAAGTTTATCATTCCAAGAATGATTCTGAAAAGAATATTCCATGAACCCACAGGACCCCTGGAACAATTACAAATAAATAATCCTATAGTGGATTGAGAGTAGATGGCACAGACCCCAAGAGCTGGTTTATATGGACCCCCAGCTAAAGGACATCTTGGAGTCTGTGCCATCTACTCTGAAACCACTGTTTTTGAGTCTACATATGAGTTGAAGGAATCCTCCGATGCGGAGGGTCAGTCTCCACTGCTGCGAGCGCTGCACGCGCTGCACCACCCGCACCGCCACCCCGGCCGGTCGACAGGGAGCCGAGGTCCCGGCAGCACACCGGGTGAACACCGGGTGAATTCGCAGATGACTCGCCCGGGAGCCGATGAATTCGCCGGATGCGAACTGGGCTGATCTTAGGATGAGATGATGGGCTGATCCCCCCCAAAAAAAAAGAAGAGAAGGGTGTTGAGCACTTGCAGCTTGTCGATGACACATGACACTCGTTGGAGCATCGGCACGCCACGTGTTGAGCACTTGCAGCCCATCATTCAAGCTGTCTTCAAAGTTGCCTCTGCCACATCCACAGCACGGTCCAGCTGGCTGCACGTGCTCGGTCCTGCGGATGATTAGCTGTGAGGAAATCATCCTCCAGTTCTTGGCTTGGGAGGCAATGAGTATCAACAGCTTAAGGGTACAGTAGTTCATAGTGGCTGCACTATAGTCTGAAGCAAACCTCTGATATCTGGAGTTTCTAGAAAGCAAGGTTGGCCGCTGTCCACCTGTCTATGCTTAAGGAGAACAGTTCTAGATTCGGGTATGATAGGGTATGTTCCACAGGCACGGCGAACACGCGGTGCCCCTCTGCTTCATAGGAAAAAGAAGGGTCCTTCACTCCCCCTGTGACAAAGGATTGGTGATCTTCTCTTGAATAGCGTGAGATATCCTGAGATGAACAAGTACAAAAGCGACCAGATTCATCTCTTTCCCAGACATGATCATACAGTATACCCATGTTATGTTGTCTGCATGTTGCATCTGAAATAGACGGCAGTATCTGAATGACCACCCAAATGTGATCATTCTGAGGTGTTCACTTCATCCACCAACCTGACTGGTGACTAGGTCGAGGCAGAGTTTCTCAGGGGACACCTGTCAGAAATCGATGAACCCATCGACCGTCGTTCATCTGACTCACCTGCACCAATCCAGGAGAAATGGGGTCCATTAAGATCTGGGTGCTCAAAACCACCATCTGGGTGCGAACGACCGGGAACGCGGGCGTTCTGAGTCCGACTTGCGGTCTGTGGAAACCGTCGGAAACAGGTGAACCTCCGGTGATGAAACCGGCCCCATTTGAGAGGTTTCGGGGGAGAGGTTCCGAACCTGAGGTCCTTAGTTCTACATTCGTAGCCTTCTGGCTCCGTTCGTAGCGGCCTCCAAACCTACTTGCGGCCTCCGGCGTCGGCTTCGGTCGTTGCTATGGGGATGGGTCCAATCTGGGGGACCCATGGGAGAGAGCACCGAACATGAACAGACTAGACTCACCTACCAGGGATTACGGGCCTGGGTTTTGACCCACATCCACCATTAAGAGAGAGAGAGAGAGAAGCCCTTTGTAACTACATGTAACTATATATTGACCCGAAGATACTCTTGCTTTGGTCCAGATACAACAGATCGGATCGGAAAGAGGAAGACATTTCACGACGTACTGGTCGCTCATGAAGCGTTCTTGGGGGTTCCAGAAGGTCCTTACGACCATCCTGTCTGGGTGTCCTGGCACTACCCTACCTATGGGCTTCCAGACAGGGCACCCCGACAGGATGGTCCAGGTAGGTCCCGCTTCCACTCTCCCTGCAGTCCTTCCTTCGTGCCAAGGCCCCACAGAGAGAAACATGGCTTGCCGCCCCTCCGCGTGTCGCCCCAACCCCTGAGAGAGGGAAGCCAAGCTTTCCCCAAACATCGCATGTGGACCACATTCAGCTCCATTTCAACGCACTCCGGACTCCTGCACTCCTCGAGAAAAAGAGATCGAATCCACTTCATGGTCATCCACCCCAAAGGTTTCCACCTAGACCAGTGAGGCATCGGCCAGCTTGTTCACCTCAACTCCCAACTCCCACCTTTGTTCAAGGCGACGGAAGTGTGCGAAAGCGAGAGAAGAACTGGAAAGGCAGCCCAGAATTCCCAGAAATCCATCTTTGGGGTGCCCCAAAAAGCAGAGCTGGACTCGAATGGAAGCTCACAAGTAGGGTAGTCAGTGACGTCCTTGCATGCTTTGGGTCGATCATTGGCAATCCATATCAATAGATCCCCTGATCAAAAGCTTGATGGACTCTGCCTAGAAACGCCGGAATCTCGTCGCGCGGGCCACTGTTCCAACAAACCCTGCGCGAAAACTTACACAACGGGTGAAAAAATAAAAAACAAACAAACAACTGAACAACTAAGCAACTTCCACCCCCCTCCCCCCCAAAAAAAGCATCAAAATGAAACAGAGACCTGGACACGTCATCGGCCGAAACATGAGAGCTTAGAACCTCTGTAGGTCGTCAGCCACGGCGGCCACGGAGAGCTGGCAGCTTCAAAGTGCCAGGCAGATCTGGATCCGTGTAGACAGAAACATCAAACATCCATCTAATGAACCGGTCGACCGGTCTTATGATATATTAGACAGAAGTCTAGTTTTCTAGTTTAAGGCGTGTGAGAGAAAAGACCAAGAACCTTGGAACAAACAACATGCCCTTGTGCAGAAGAATGTTCATATTGTTGCGATCCCAGGACCTCCAGCGGGTGCGAGACCAGCTGGTTCCTGAGCTTCGAGACCAGCAGACTTGCAGATCAAGCAAATGATGGTCACAAATGAAGCAGATTTGCAGATGGTATCTGGGTCGTGTTTGAATCTACAGCTTGCCTAGTATCCCTAGCTCATTGTACCAGCGGGTGCACTTGTGTTTTCGGATGATGTTACTGTAGTTACATTTTGTTGCTGCGCACTGTGCAACCACTCAAGTCGCTTCGCATGAATTGTTCCAAATTTGATACACCTGCCGGAAAGGCCCGTTTCTTTGGCCCTCCAAGAAAATGCCATCTCCTTGAAAGGTACTCTTAGGCAAGGTTGACACCAAGGCATCAGTCACAGAACTCTTTTTCATGCGGGTCCATCCAGCGTCGAGCTGGGGAAGCTGCAACCACAAAGGGCAAGCCAACCACAATGAGATATGGATATGTATGGATTTCACCCTCAATACGCAGATTCAGGCCAAGATGCAGATCTCAGAGCTCCAACAAAGCTCTCGCCACGGGTCCAACTCACGCCTATGGCAGTTGCCTTTCGGCAACGAGGTCCAAGACGATGAGGTGCGGGTCGTGCGCGGGTCGTGCTATTCCCGGAGTTTGTCCACGTCGGCTGTTCTGGAATTTGGACAAATGTTGAGAAGGACACGAGTTTGTGCTGACAGGCCTGGAATTTAAAACAACCAAGTCAACATAGCCGGTATCGATCTGAGCAACTGGAACTTCTGAGTCCAAGATCATTTCTAGAAGCAAAGAGAACAGGTCAGCAGAGAACAGGAAGCAAATGGTCAGCTGATCGAGATGTTTTTCCGCCATGCAATCTCAGCCTCAGTCTCTCCAGTGAGTCCAGTCCAGCAGATGAAACGAGGACCCGGGAGGTCGGTCTTGGAAGTCTGTGATGTCTATTGTTCAGGACACCATGTGTGAACCCGGACAAATCCGCAGAACTACTTGCTCTCTTTGCAGGACATCTGCCAAAAGCAACTTTGGGAGGAGAAAGACCTACAAGCAGTTCTTACTTCTGCTTTGTCCCATGCTTGGAGGGTGACCTGCCGACATCTTCCCCTATCTAAGCAGAAAAAAAAAGAAAGGTTGAAAGGACTTTGAGACTACCACCCAAAATGCAAGGTCTTCTGGCGTCTGCTTAGCTTGTTTGTCTGCCATGTCCAATGCTTTGGTTTCGGTAGTTGATCTCTTCTGTGCTTCGGGTGTTGCCCTGATGACCTGTGTTCTTAGTGTCTTTGTTCCCGCTGCAGTACTTTTGTTCTGTTTGCGCTTGTCCCAAACTGGCAAGACCCCCCAACCGATGCGTTTTGGTTTACGGGCAGCTTGTGGATAACTCATCATTCAATCACACTCATTTGAAGGCTCCATGAAGGTCGATGTGCGTTCAAGGGAATCGTCATCAGATCTAAATCAATGTCTATGGTATGGTGGGGTATCCAAAGTTCATGGGGTCTTCCTCTGTAGTACATGCTGCTCAACTCTTGCGTCACGGGTGCATGTTTCTTGGGTTTGGTCGCAAGATGCATGTTGGAAGAGGCTTTTTGGTGTATCAAGATGCATCTCTCTGGCTTCTTTTCGACCGACCAGGAACGGGCACGTGAACCACAAAAGAACGGTGCGCACCCGTGTTGATCGGAAGACCGGACGGGGTAGGACCGGAGCATTCGGACGAAGCGGGGAACCGGGCGGCTTCGCTCCCAGACCAACCGACGGACCGATGTCAGGCAGAACGACCTTCACATGACCTGAGCGGGGGATGAATCGGAAGACCGCGAAGACAGACGACGGCTCCCGACGGCTCCAGCGAAGCGAAGGCTCCTGGTGACAGGAAAGCAGATGCGAACGGGCAAAAGATGCGCGAACCGACAACGGAGTGTCCTGGCTGGGTAGTGAAGCCCACTACTTGTGGATCTCCAGCCAGGACATCCCTACCGGATGGTCCAGCTGGCAGTTTGCAATCGTTCTCTTGTACCAAAACCACACAATCACAGCATGATTGACCATGTACGGAAGGCATGTCTTTGTGCGTCAATGGTGGCACAAATCAACTTCTGTGAGAGTCACGTCAGCGACGTGTCCACGATGCGTGCTTTCAAGAACAGATGATACCAAGAATCCAGATGTATTCAGATGTTGAGCTTGGATGTTAAGCAGATCCTTTCGGATGTTTGGATGAGGTGCAGATCTTCGACTATTATCATCTTGACAATGAAAAGCCTCTTTTTATCCATTCAGAATGGATAATGATAGTTAGTCAGTCCTGGCTGGTCTATTTGGACAAAAACAAATCCTAAGTTCAGTGCATCTATACAGTAATCTATAGTCTAAATTAGTCTAATACAATGAAGTACAAATGTTTCTTGCCAGGATCGATAAGATAAGTAAAGATATCACGCAAACGAAAGTCGGTTTGAAAACAAGGCTATTTGTGTGTGTGTGTGTCTCTCCAACCTCGGTGCTCTCAGTGCTAGGTGCTCTCGGGGTCACGAAGCAATGTGTCCGCGGAATCCGCGCCTTCCCGAAGTCCAGATCCTTTGAGGAACGATTCATGCATCTCCAGCAGACCTCAGAACCATCAGGGCATCAGGGATTGTCTACTTCATGGAAATCCATTGTCGGCCATGGTCTTTCGTCCTTCTAAGATCTGCGTTCGACCAGAATGGAGGGTATCTACCTCCCGAACTCACCGCCTTCACTTGAAGCATCTCCTTGCGTACCATGTGCCCTACCACCGCTTCACTTCACTGTACCTGCCCACCGTGTGACAAAAAAGGACGCGCCTGCCGTCGCGGGCCTCGAGGATGGTGCTCGATGTTCTCCCAATGTGAGTGCTTTTGGGGTAAAGAATGGTAAAGAATCTTTTCGAGTTTGCAAGGCCCCATGTCCATTGTCCATAGGCAAGTGAGAGACTGACCACTCCTGAAGACCACTCCCTGCACCGGCTAGCTGAGCTAACATGCCACGCATTTTAGACTTCTTCGCACTGAGAACCAGAGTCTTCAACAAAATGAGTGCGCACTGAGAACCAGAGTGGATGCCATCTCTCCTATTCAGTCGATGACTTGCGCTGCCACAAGAACCGCCTTGGTCAACCGTTCGGTCGGCCGGCACCGCCGTGCAACCGATCTGGGGCGGCCGGGCTGCAGCACCGCAGCCTGAGGCGGCGAAGCCGCGGTTGGACACGAAAGGGGATTGGTCGTATTCCACCAAACCATCTTGGATTGGATAGGTGAGTTCTTAGGGCGGAGACACCTTCGCCAGCGTCGGAGAGGATCTCAAGGTTCCCACCCTTTCGTTGGGAAGCGATCTTTCATGCGAACGGATGGAAAGGTGTGCCCTGGCCCCGTTCTAGCCCTTAGTTCAACATGAAGCTCGCGCGCTAAAGCTCCTTTTTACCTGGTTGGGCACTTGAGCCAAAATGGTATGGCATGTACCTATATAGCAACTATACTGGGACCTCATCCCTATTGACACCCCCCACATCCGTACTTCGACGGGGAAGGGAGATGAGTGGATGTAAAAACCGGAGAACGAATCATGTTCTCAAAAGTGTATTGGAGGTCAACCAGTATGTCCTATTGAATTGAATGGGCAAAAGATCTTGCATTTGCCTGAAAGCTGGATCAAACAGGTAATGGAGCTACAAACGGAAAACGTGCACCTACCGATGGTATCATGCGATTACCAACGGTGTGAAACACAATCCTATCTCACTCCCATGATGCCAAAACGGTCATCATGAATTACCCAAGATCCCTCAGTACTTGAAGTACCAAAAGTGGCATGTCGGTATGACCCCAATGCTCAACCATTCGTGAGTTGCCGCATGTAGTCAGCGCCGACAAAGCCAATGTAGTCCTTGATGAGCTCGACGTTCCTCGGATTTCCCGCTCGGATCTGGTTCTCGAAGAGCTTCAATTTCTGCGCTTGAATATCGGATACCTCTATGCCATAGTAGCGGCATGCAACGAGGATCTCCTTCGTGACATTCTTCCGCTCCGACTTGATGGCGGGGCTAATGTCGATGAATTTGTATGGAGCGGCACTTTCGTCATCTGGTTTCTGGTAGTAGCTATATCGGCTCGCTCCGAAGGTCTTCCTGATCAAGCGTCTGATGAAATTTGAGATGAATGCCAGTTTCTCGATGATCTCTTCCTGGGTCTCAGACCTTCGAGCCTTTGGATCACTCATGTTACGCCGAGTGCTGCCGACCTCTTTGAGGTACTTGTGGCTAAGCCCGCAGCGGATTGCAGTGATCATCATCGGGTGAACAACGTGGGCGTGGAACTCATAGATCTGCCACGCTTCTGTTGCAAACGTGTCGTTGGTCCATTTGCTCATGTCTACGACCTCGGCTCTCTGGAGACGTCTTGGAAACCCAGTATCCGGATCATTCGGTACTATTGGCCATCTATTGTACGGAGTGTCATGCCGCTGCCCATCGTCGAACTTTCGCAGTACGTCTTCGCGACTCTCAAAGCAGTTGATGTCGAACGTCGCGTTGGCCAAGCTCTTGATCAACTTCATCAACCTCAGATCAAACTGCTGTGTGACTGCAAAGTTGTGGTCGATGGGGATCGCAGCTTCTTGTGGCAATTCGTCAATCGCGAAGGGGAAAGGCTGCGGAAGTTCATTCCCGTATCCATCTTGAGGGACCTCCCGATATTCGGGTTCGCCTTCAGCTTCATCCGGCCGTTCCTTCAAAATGATAGGAACTTCCTCCTCTTCCTCTCCTTCGGATTCCTCGACCTCAATGACCTCTTCGGCTGTCTTGCGTGCCTTCTTGATGACTTCATCGATGTTTGCACCTGCAGCAGAAGTTGCTTCACCGGAAGAACTGGCTGGGACATCTTTCGGAGGTGATCGTTGATTGCGGTCTCTTGTCTCCTTGGGTACCACGTGTGTGAGTTTCCCATTCGCGATCAAAACCGCTACGCAGTGCGGACATACCGTCAACCGCACATCGACTTCGCCAAGACAGTTAGGACACGGCCTTGAGTCATAGTCTTTCATTGCCCGGCGGTACACGATCTCCTCAAAGATTTCCTGCCACTCGGTGCTATCATATTCTGGGTGTACGCCACTCTCCTCGATCATACCCAATAGTTTTGAGATTTTGGCGTCGTCCTCAGAGTAGGTATCGTCCTGGACTTCAACCGCTAAACTCTCAAGCTTCTGAAAGCGTGGGATCATGATCGGGTTTCCGTATTTGGACTCCAGAACAAGGTAGCTTCCAGGGTCGGGTTCCCTATTGAGTAACCTGATCCATTCGATCTCCTCAGGCTTTCCGGGTTCCGCATTGTCGCATTGCAACCATGCCCCTTTAACCTCATCGAAGGGAACGACGTTCTCAACCAATAGAGATCCAGTCGCTGAGATGAGAAGCCCGTACTCCTGCAGCTTCCACACCGGAATGTAGAGAACCACTGGGCGATCACTCAATGCGACCTTACGACCCAGCCAAGGTTTTCCCTTGTAGCCCTGCTCCCAGGCCCATGGCGGAAAACATGTGAAGTGGATAGAATCCCTTCCCGATGAACCGAGACCTCCTGGCACTAGCCCCCGTCGCATGATTGAAGTCAGCGCTCCAAGGTTGGTAGCGTGAAATGCAGTCACCATAGATAGGGCCATGTCGTTGGTCATTCTCGATCCAATGTGGTCGATGTTGATGGTGACGTCATAACCTCCGCCGTCCGATGAGTGTGCTGAGGTTGCTCTTACGGCCACGGGAAAGCACCATCCATTGCTGTGGTGGAGTCTTCCTTTGGAGATTCCCATGCCCTTGAGTTCGTCAATCCATTCCTTCTCCATCGGGTCATCAGGGTCATTGAGTTCATCAGGACGAACGCGGACCGCCAACATTTGGAATCTGATCCTCTTGGTTATGCGGAAACACTCATAGTTCTGGTCGAAGAACTTCTCCAAACGCGCCTTCTTGGTCACGGTATCTACGTTGCCGTAGTAATAACCGTCTTCCCAAACTGCATTATCACCCAACAGATCTTCCCATGACACCCATGCGCCTTCATCGCATTTGATTGGTGTGAGTCTCCCACCTGTCCTGAACTGGCGTCCAATTCGATGTCTCAACTTCGCTCCCAATCGACGACTCAGGGCTTGGCTCGCTTG